ATATCTAAATAACAAGGGGTAAGTCACAACCTTTGACTCCTTGCAGGTACACTTAGTGAGCGCTGGTGAGGGCTCTGGCATGGTTTGTGTAACAACCAGATGCAGTGCTGGCATTTGCACCAGAAGGGGGGAATAGGAGATGAACTTGTACACCAGTCTCAACGCTAGCTGATTTGTGAAGGAGCCCTGTCTCCTGTGGCTGCTAGAGCTAACTGCGTACTACTGATCCTCCATGAGCTCTCCCACACTCACATCACTCTGTCGGGCCTTAGCACATACGTTTAAGAACAGAAAGTGCAGAAAAATAGCAGGATGACCTTTTTATTTATTTTTTTCCTTGCTGAGAAAGCCCTGTTGTGTGGGGCCTGCAGCCCAGAGGGAGCCAGCAGCTCTGTGCCACTGTGCCTTTGGCATCCATCCAGGCTGGAAGAGGGCTGGGTCAGCATAGGCTCATGCAGCAGAGCTTCCCATCCAGGCAGCTGTTCCATACACCTGGCTTGACCATCTGCTGCTTTGTCAGCTGGTGTATCTCTGCTTGTTAGTCCCCAGCCCTTACTGCAGCTCCATGTGCTGCCTGACCCCATGAGCAGTATTGCAGCAGCAGCATCCTGTTGTCAGAAGAGCTGGAATTTCCACCAGCGTGTAGGTCAGAGTGTTTGGCGTCAATTCCTTGGTGAAGTGGTTCCCCAGGCCCTGGTGACTTGAAGCTTTGCCTTGCTAGGCTTCCCCTTTTTAACTTCATAAAGACCATTAAAGCATTACAGCCCACCTTTTCTTCGTGATACCAGCGTGCTTAGACCCACAGAGCTTTCATTTTCCACTAAAAGTTGTTAAACTTCTGCAGCTCTCTCTCAACACAGATAGGCATCGCTGAAGAAATGCTTTTAAATCTGTCCGTGTCTTGCTGGAGTTCAGTCTGAAAAGCTTATCTTCTTCTGTGGTATGCGCAGTCAGCCCAATTGACTTAATTCTTCCTGTTCACGAAGATGGGGGGAGATAAGACCACACATACTCTGTGTGCCTGCGGAACAGGGCAACTGACCATGCTAATGTTTAACAAATCTAGCTCAGGAAACCATCTGGCATAGAGCCCTAGGTGGTTTTCTCTCAAAGTCGTTTTTGTCACTGGTGTAAGCATGCCAAAAGGCCCACATCTTTGTATCATGTGCTCAATTCTGCTTGCAAAAATAGCCCTGTAGTTCTGCATGTGCTGCTGTCACGTGGAAAGCTAGCCATGTACATACCTGTGTGCAGGACTGCACAGTAGCTGCAGAACCTCATTTCTTTTCTAGTATTCTCCTGAAAATTAGCTGGGACAGCTCTTGAACACAGGACTGTAGTGAGGCCGGTGTTGGTCTCTTCTCCCAAGTGACTAGTGACAGGACAAGAAGTAATGGCCTCAAGCTGCGCCAGGGGAGATTTGGATTGGATATTAGGAAAAAATTCTTTACTGAAAGAGTGGTCAAGCATTGGAACAGGCTGCCCAGGGAGGTGGTGGAGTCACCATCCCTGGAGGTTTTTAAGAGACATATAGATGTGGTGCTTAGGGACATGGTGTAGTGGTGGGCTTGGTAGTGTTGGGATAATGGTTGGACCTGATGATCTTAAAGGTCTTTTCCAACCAAAATGATTCTGTGATTCTGTGACTGTGTGGGAACAGAAGGGATGTGAAATAGATTAAAGAAATTATTAAAGAAAAATACAAGGAATTAAACTTGTTTAGCCCTGTCCTTTCTGCACAGCAAAATCAAGTCCTGGTTTGTAGCATCTGTATGGGTATACCTTTTCCAGTTGAAACCAATGGGATGCTGCTCCTCTTGAAGGAGGTTGAGGAGGACCCCTGTTAGCACCCAGCTTAGCTATACAGCGGTTGAAGCATGGACTCCTTTCTCCTCTGGAGTTCAGTGCAAAGGGTCTTGTGAGTGAAGCCTTTGTGTGATTTCCTCCAAGTTAGGGTTTATGTCTGCTTGAATAATAATCTGTAAAGAAGCCAATGAAGTGATTTCTTATCCCAATATCCACTAAGACTGCTGGAGAAGAAAAAAGCTCTTCCTTTCAACACCCACCCTCCACCCACCCACCTGCCCACAAAAAAATATTCATTGTTTAGTCCTTCCTTCTTCAAAACTATATGGCAGCGATGTTATGATGAAATGATAAAGAGCATTCTTTAGAGATGGAGAAGAAAAAAATAGAGGATTCTCAAGTCGTATTTCAAGGGTTGAAAAACCTTGAAACATGGAGATGGAATATACTTTCTGCATCCTGAGTTTTTCAGCCACCTTCTGCTATTTCTGAGTCAAACACTCCATCGTATACACTTTCTTACGTCTGTAATAGTTATTGCCTCTTCTGATGTTTTTTCTTATCTTTAATTTCTTGAGCGTTTAGACACATCCAGTATGAGAAAGAAAACAAATGTAAAAAGAACTGTCTATTATGTTGACCAATCAAGTTAATTTTTAATGACCTGACATGGCTTGTAATATATAACGCATTTAATTAAAAACATACCAAGTCAAATTTCTTGCTATTGTATGTTGTTTATTGTTTGAAATCATGTCTTAATATTTTTATTAAATGTAAAAAAAAAAGCCATTATAAACTCAATCAAACTAGAATTAAAGAGCACTGTCAAAGCACTGTCTAATTAGAGAAAATCCCCAAATCAGAATTAACAAAGTGTTGGACTACAACCTAACCATTACATTAATACATAATCAGCGCTTATGAATTCCTAAATAAGAAATCTAGAGAGAAAGCTGCCCGTTTAATTATACATTCCAATTAAGATTTTAGTCTCAGCGCAGTAAACTTATCTGAACATCTCACTATTAGCCCGGTTGAGTTATTTGAAAGTCACATTTGCAGTCACTGGCGCTTCTACTTAATTGGACTGTTACAGAGCAGATCTTTTCTTGTGATTTCTGTTGCTCTCTTTACAAAAAAATAGATTTTACATTATAGCTCTGCTCTGGAAAGGTTAGCAGCTGTTGCTAAACACCGAGAAAAGCTAATTGAGGTTGTGCTTTTTTCCAAAATAAGGAGCGTGCACCAGTTCAAAAATGTTTTACAGGAGAAGATGTGAAGGTGAATTAAGAACATAAATGAATTAAGGTTTGGAACATTACCAAATGTTTTTTTACGCCATAGGTACTAGATCTGTTTGTATTTTTCTGCCATAAAACATTAAAAGTGCCCTTCCCGCTTAAAACAATAGAGCAAACAGCAACAGCTAACAAAATAAAATGTTACAGCTATTCTCTTCGCTCAGCCCACATCCTCGCACAGTTAACAGTTAAAAAAGCTAGGAAAAGATAGAGGTTATATTAGAGCCATATCTTTGAATAGGAAGCTCATTAAATCTACAGAACAAACAATAAATAAAGTAAATACACAGTAAAATGAAAGAGAGCAAAGTCCGTGCAGACTGCTTGGCTATTGTGCATGGTTTATGGGTTGGATGCTCCTGCATGACACAACCAGTCTCAGTGTAGGAGGCTAGTCTTATTCAGTGTTTAGCCCTTCTGAAAGAGCAGTTGTTCGCACTCCAGCTTGAGTTGTGTGTGTAATTTCTGCTGGTCCTGCCACCCCTGAAAGTGAATAAATGGGTCTTAAACATATCCTTAAAATGGGAAGAAAGATGAAAGAAATCGTGGGGTAGAGAAAGCTAACTGTAGATGCAGAAACAGCTGTGAAATATATAAAGGGCTGTTGCAAAGAGATGGGGTACAACCTGACAGGTAGTAAAGAAACTAACAAGTTGAAAATGCAGCAAGGGAGATGAGGTGCAGGCATTAGGAAAAAAATACATAATCATTCAGGATGGCAGTGCACTGGGAAAAAGTACCCTAAGGACTTAGTGTAGATGCCATGAGTGCTCCCAATTTCGAAATAGATTAGACAGGCAAGAAACTTTCTCTGTAAGAAATTACTTGGGTATTCCCTTTTGCTACCTGTGGTCTCTTTCTAACCCTAGCTTATGGTGATCACAGATGGGGTAGGCCTTATAGTACTTTTATCATAGGAGGAAAAAAAGATGTCACAGATTGAATTTATGGACTAGTGGTGCCCTATGGTATCAGCAGTATGGCTTATTAAATGAGTGGAAATTTCAGACAACTGACTACCCACTGATCTTAGACTTCGGAAGCTTAAATACATTTTGTGATTCCTGTCTGAGCAATTTCTTCATGAACAAGATTAAAGCGACTCGCCGGTCAGGTGAAAATTTGTGATCACATTCCAGTTCAGGGCAGAAGGCTACTTTGAAACGCCAACACTTGTACTGTTGAGAAAGATTCAGACTGTTCCTTTCTCACTCTCTGACTTTATGTAGGCAGTTTTTTCGTCATGGTATTTTATCTCATGCTTACTTTCTCTCTTCAGCAATCTTTGACTGTGATCCAGTTCTGCTTTTGCATTTGCTGCCTTTTGGGTGCTGTTTACTGTTTATTGTTTTGTAAAAGGCAGTATTTCCCTCTGCTTAGAGGAGACGATGTAGAGTGACTATAGAGGGAAGACTGGGGGTTAGTCAGAAATTCCTGAATGCTGCTTGTGAGTCCGTCTGTGAGCTAAGATAGGCTTATGTGAGGACCATTAGTGTTCCTTAAATACATTTTGTCTCTTAGCTAGTTGCTGGCATCTTCTGTTGCAGAGTGTTTTGTACAGACTGTTTCATAACCTGCTCCTACTGAAGTGCTACTGCCCGTCTCACAGTTTTCCTTCGCCAATATCAGAAACTTGAACTTTCCTGGGTATCTCGAAGAGCTGATGCTAGTATTCTGCAAACCTCTGCAGCATTTTGGATCGTATCTTGCCATGGGTTATGCTCTGAGTACCTGTGAGGGAAGGCTTTATGCAGATGGATAGAAAATGGTAAACGAGCATCTCTAGTAGGTGAATTATTCTACATGTACAGCTGCTTTTTTTTATCCTCTTTCAGCCATACTCTCAGAAGACAGGAATTCCAGTGAGTCTGCCTGGAAGAATAAAATTTCTCTATCTGCCCTAAACACTCCAGAGCCAGCAATGATGCATGAGCCTTTAGTTGGCAGCCAGAAAAGGAAAGCAAGGAAAACTAAGATCACGCATCTTGTCCGAACAGCAGATGGTCGAGTGTCACCAGCAGGAGGGACACTGGGTAAGGAAATTGGAGTTTAAATTTCGTTAAAACTCAATGGTTGTAGAAGGTTTGGGAGTACAAGCAACCTATCAGGGAAGTATTTTTCAGTTAGCTTGTTTTCTTACCTACTTAGAAAGGTCATTCTTTAAAATATAGGTGTCACTCAACTGGGAAATCACCGCATCCATAATGGCCAACTTCTCGTTTGAATGCCCAGATCTGTCTTCCCTCCCTGGATATTTCTCCCTAAGAACTGAGAGCTGATACAGAGATAAAGGGAAAACAGCTACCTTCCGTAATTTGTTTCCAGTTCAACGAAGAATTACACTGCACCTAGTTAGTGGATGTAAAAATGAATTCCATAATATGACAATCAATGCCACAGTCCTTGCAGAAGTCCTCTGCGGTTAAGATAATCTTTCAGGACTTCTGTATCTAAAACGTACACAAAAGCTTTCTTGCCTGACCTAAAAGATGAAGCTCAGTTGAATGCAAAACCAGTAAACAACTTCATAAACCTTAGTACTGTGCTTCTGCCAATAGCCTGGGTCGGAGGAGGTTACAGCATGTATCAGATTAGGTTTGCAAAATCGAAGTCCTAAAGGTAGTGATTCTGTTAACACCAGACTAGTCAGTATGTCTGGGCTGCTGGGAATTTAAGGGATAGATTTGCAAGCTTAACTTTGTTTTATTGCAGAGGAGAAGCCAAAAGAGCTGCCACAAAGTACTCTTCAAAAAACATCAAGTGCAGAAACAGATTGCAACAGTGAATGCTCCAGAAATGCAGAAACAGAAGAAAATCATAGTATTACATCAGATATGCCAGCGGTGTCTGCATTTTTTAGCTTAGCTGCTCTGGCAGAAGTAGCAGCCATGGAAAATGTACACAGGTATGTTTTTCTTTTCCCCATGTTGTCTAAGCGAATAGAATGTGGCTGCCAGCTTGCTCAGAAAGCATATGAATTGCAGACTGTTTAATTTGGCCTGTGTTTTCTCTTCCACAGCTTTCTATGAATGTCTGTTTTAAGCCACTTGCTTAGTAGCGTTAAGTCTTTGTCTAAATGACAATGTAATCTGTTTCAGTAGTCAGTAAAATGATCCTCCCTGGTAAGCTTACGTACCAATTCTTGTACATAAAGGTTCATATGTTCCTTGAGATCCTAATGATCGAGAGTTTCTAATTATCAGAAACCATTTGTCAGATGATGGCAGATTCAGGTAGCTGTTGCATGTTGATTTGCATTTTTCAGTGGCCTGAGACTGTGGAGAGAATTTCATATAACTTCAGCTGAAGTTGTTATGCTGAACATGGCTGAAGAAAACTAACTTGTCATTTTTATTCTTGTGCTTTGCTGTGTAGGAGGCAAAGCATCTGCAGAATGGCATGGGGCAGAACAGCTCTGGGTGATGGAAAGCCACATTAGTTTGGGTTGGTCCTCTCAGTTGTGAATAGACAGTCCACACAGATCATGTGCAGCTTACTTAGGGCTGTTGGGTCAGTTCAGCATGGTCACATTCTGCATTCTAGACCTACAATGGGAGGAGACCAATGACAGCAAATCCTCCTTGGCTCTTAATCATCCACTGTTGTTCTTCGATGCTGCAGCTTTTTGGAGATGAAATCCCACCCTTTACTGCAGTAGAAGTCAGTGAGGAACCATGCTGGGACAGTTTGAAACCATCACAGCCTCTGCAAATGGCATTTGACAGATTGCTGGCTGCCTAAGAAACTCCACAATGCAGCTGTTGGTGAAACTGTTCACAAACTCAGTTTACGGTTGATCTCGTGGCCGCCAGCAACAAACCCAGTCCGGTGTGTTCAGGCTGTGCATCAAACATTGAAAGTCTTTTTAGAAGCTCAGGGGCCCTACAGGAAAAAATGTCAACTGAACCCAGCCTGCTAGCTGTTCTCTGCAGAAGCTGTTGTCTTGCTTAAGCAACGCTGTTTTGAGTGGAAAGTGTTTCCACAGTGCGATCAGCCTGGCCTTTCCTCCCAGCTTTGCAGAACAAGTGTCTGCTATCAGGACAGCAAAAGGCTACACTCGTTTCTGTCATCTTCTGCGGTTAGAAGCCACGAAGTGAGTCTTGAGGAAGTGCTATGCTAAGCTCTGCTTTCATTCACACCCTTGTGGTTTTGTTGATTTCCACTAACACTGACCAGAATTGCACAAGAGCAACAGGATTCGCTTCGCTGTGGTTTTTCCCTCTTTGTTCCTCTAAGAGTCCTTGTCCTCTTGTACTTATTGAAGTGAGCTAATGTTTTATGTAGCCTTCTGTTTGGGTCTTCCTTAGTCCCACCTTTTGTCATCTCATCATGCAGCTAGAGCAAGGCATTGCCTTCCATGAGGCCTGAAAACACCAGACTGGCAAATGTCCAGCAACTGTTGCAATTCCAGCTTGTTCTCAGCCCAGGCAGAAGTTAGAACTGGCGAGGACTCTTTCCTAGTAGAAACTTAGACGTGTCTCTTGCAAACTTGGCAAGTGACAGTCAAAACAGAAACCTAAATCTGATGGGCTAGGTGCTTCTCTATTTTCTACCCTGTCGACTGTTTGTTACCTTTTGCAGCTCACTACTTTATTTGTAAATAGCCGGAAACGAAAAGAACAGCATTAGAGGTTTTGCTTGATGTGTTCTTCAGTGTCTGACTTTAATTATTAAATAATTTCACAGAGCCTTGGGCCATTGCAGCCAGACTCCTTTTTAACTGTGATTAGAGCTTGTGTAGAAGTAGCAGTGTGGTTTTCATTTGAAGGCTGCTGTTCAGCTTTGTTTACCTTGTGCACGCCCTGGGTAAGCACTGTCAGCCTGAGCTCCGTTTTTTGCCAAGGCCACTTCATTGCGCTCCGGTTGTGCAAAGCACGTTGGTACCTCCGTTTCTGCTGGGGTCTTAGCTGTGCCAGAGTGAGGTAAGGTGGCCCTTGTGTAAGTAAGAAGTGGGCCCCAAATTTTCGTTGCTGCAAATGACACATACTGTAACAAAAATAGAACCTGACTTGTGAGATTAGATAACAGTTGGTGACGTGCTTTGTATATGTATTTTAACAGACAAGCTGCAGAGGAGCTCTCCCAAGTCCATCTGCTATAATGATTGATTTGCAGCACGTAATTTTGGTGCAGTTTATTTTTATGATACCCTGTGCCAGGGCATCATTTGTAAATTAACGCTGCTGTAGTAATGAAAGAGATGTTGTGCTGGGCTGATGAAGTGTTAAGCCATAAAACTTGGAGTGATCCCAATGTGCAGCTCTGCTGAGGAGTGTATTTCCGTATTGCTTAAAAGCTGGCTATTGACTCTCATTAACGTGATCTGTGCCTCTGTGCATTTACCTTCTGTTGCCACACGAGCTGCACTCTCTGCTTCTGAGGGCTGAAGCCACTCCCTTACAAAATGAGTAACAGTGCTTGTGCACCCTTAACTTACTCTTCAGCCGTGTGTTTTGTTTTGTGTAGTCAAATACTGTCACGTCTTGGTTTTGCCTGACTTTGCATTGTGTTGCAGGCTGTCCTCAGGATACTATGTGACTGTTGCAGGAGTACCTCTAAAAAGAGGGTGTAACAGCGATACGTGGGCGGGCATTATGTAGCAGCAGGGAGTTACGGTGCTGTAACATCAGACGTTAAACCATATCACGTGACGCTTTCCATCCTTTCTGGTCTGCTAAAAGCACCTCCATCCTCCAAATAATGATGGATGGCTTTTCTTTTCTTCTTTTGCAGAAGTCAGAGGGCCACACCTCTCCCACATGACGGACAGCCAAATGAAATGTCTCAGGCTCCAGTGCTTATTTCCTGCGCTGACCAGTGAAGCTCCACTTTATTGTAAAACATTGTGCTTTACCTAATATCCTAGCCTTGTCTTTACCAAGGGAAGCTAGTCAGTCCATATGATGGCAACTATAGACTGCAAGCAAGTGCTTATTGCTCTGAGTGGCCCAGAATTCACGGGAAGCCAGACGTTAGCAACTTGGGCCAGGTCCTCAAATCGGAACCCAGTATGTAGGAGGGTGATATTAATTGTCTATTAATGAACAGAAATGGAATGATCCTAGAGCTTGCTTTCTATTGAAGGCTTTTAAACAGTACATAGGTGGTTGGTGTGAAAAAGGCTGCCTTTACTGTTAGCTCACACAGCATCTCTTTTACCAACCAGAGAGTACGGCAACTAGTTTCGTATAATACCTAGTTATTCTAAATGAAAATAAAAAAAAAAAAAAAACCAACAACAAAAACACTGACGCACTGCACTAGTTATTATTAGATATTCTTAGTCATTTTTGTACATGAAGATTTAAGTTCTAAGATGGTTTATATTAATAGGTTATGCCTACGTTTATATTGTAGAATGAATTTAAAACCTGTTCCAGAGAACTCAAGGCAGCCTGGACAGATGTACCATTGTTAGCGGTGTTTGGGCAGCCACGTGGTCCAGATGTTCTGCACTTTTATATTTGCCACCAGAGTGGTAGAGTTTACTGGGAAAAATTCTGACAGGCTATGTTTGGGTTTGTTTCTTTTTAATTTAGCTTTCAATAACCAGGATGATGTGCATTAGAAAAACGAGTGGTGTATGGAAAAGAAAATAACTGCAGCTAATTGACTTGTCTTTCATGCCTTGAAGGGTTCCTTTATTTTTGCATAGATATCTGAGCGACTTGGTGAAACTTTCCTGTAAACTGCAAATGCGTTTTTCAAAAGTGACCTTAGTATTATTTCACCGTTCTGAAAAACCTAAAACCGTGACTTTTCGATATACATGTACACCAATACACATACTTTTTACATTTTACAGACACTGGCATTGTTGTAGTTACTATGCACAGTCCAAATCAGCTTCAGAGTGTGCTTAAAGGGCCCATTACAGCTTGTGTTGGTAAAGTGATGAGTTGTATAGAGGCGAACTACAACCGAAGAGTAACGTTTGACTGAATTCAGATTACCAAACAGATCCATTTGCCAGTTTCTGTCTTTGCTTGTGTTGAATTTTTGTGTTTTGCTCTCATAAATGCATCCCAAAAGCAGGCCAAGTGTATCACTTGACCTGTTATCTTTGCTATCTTGACTTACACTATTGTATAACCAAGCATTGATTCCTACCGATAGATGCAAAACGATCACTAGTAATTGATCTAAAGCTACAAATTCAACAGGGTACTTCTTCTATAGCACAAGATGTTTCCCTACTTTTTGCGTTGTAGCACAACAATTTACCAAATTGGACTCCAGCAATAATTTTCTATTAGTCTTCGTCATGCCGGCTGAACTTTTGATAGTATTAGATTGAGTTTGAAGTTCTTTGAATTAAGTCTTTAAATTATGCGAGTTTACATCATTCTATCAGGCATTCTTATTTATACTTGATGAATTGATAATATGTTTTGGGGTTATTTTGTAACTAATTTGATGTAATAGCCATATGGACAGTAAGTCTCTTAATGCTTGCTAGGTTTAGCCTTGCATTGTTGTAGTTAAGTAAAAGTCTTTGGTTCAGTGTCAGGAAACAGTGTACAACATACCACTCGAGTTGTAACAAAGGATTAAAGGTCTGACAAAAGGCAGGTAGCTGGGGAAGTATCACTGAACAGCACCATCGAGGATGCGTGTGTTGGAAGAAGGGAACAACAACATAAGAACAACAAAATCTATGAGTCAGTGAAAAGGCTTTTTAAAAATTCAGGTGAATATATGACTAAGAGCCCCTAGAATGCCATCGCAGCCTATGGCAGTATTTTTAATAAGATTTTATTAAAGTTTTATAAGTTATTTTAATGAGACAGGAAAAACTTAAAAGACTTAAAACTGTTGGGTCACAGCAAGGTGGCTGTTGGGAGTTTTGGACCACTTTATAATTAGCTGAAATCCAAATATGTTACAGTGCAGGCCGTTCACGTTGACAATGGTACTAACTTATTTCTCTAGAAACCTTTAGAGTAGATATATTTTTGTCAAAGCACCCCATCCTTCCTCGATTTAAATTTCAATATTGTTCCTGAAGATATTTCTGTATATTAATGGTACCTTTTTTAAAAGAAACAGAAAATTACTTTTTTCTATATGAATTAATATCTTACTTGATCTGCTTTTCCTTGACTTTCCCTTAGAGAGGGGGTAGGGTTGGGTCAGTTTACTGGATATGACTGTTTTCAGATACTTATAAACCTTTTTGTAGATATGCTTAATTTTTAAGCGATTAGGCACTGAGAGTAGCAGAAATCCTGCAAAGCTTTATAGTTCACTAGGCGTTTGCCTTCGTTGGTTCTCTGAGTGATGTCTTGATTTCAGTAGCTAGAATTTTCCCTGAATCTACTAGAAGGGGTATCAGTATTTTCAGGTAACAAAGTCTGTTAGCACAACAAAAATTTCAGACCAATATCTTACTGTACTGGGGTTGGGTTTTTTCCTTGTTTGTTTTGTTTTAATTTTTATTAATTTCAGCTGCTTTCATTTTGGAAAATCTTATTGCTATTGTGTGTACTTCAGTATACCAGCAAACACTGTTACCCATTAACACATTGTCCACAAATGCCTCTAGAGAAGAAATTGTTGCACCTTATATATATCTCAAGCAAACCAAAATATGATGCTTTTCTGCTTTGTTTATTCTGAATATGTTGTATCATACTTTACTGAACCCATTTTAACTTAGCTAAAGCTATTGATATTTATGCATTTCACATTATTTTCTGGATCTGAACCTGTGTATAAATCTTTCTTTGAAAAAAAAAGAAAAGCATTTACCGTAGTCGTCCTCTGTGACTTATCCATGGGAGGGGGGAATCTTGTCTCAAGTGTAAAATGCAGTACTGTCCCAGTTTTCTTTGGCTTTTATTTATTTAGTGATCTTTGATATTTCATATGTAGTTTTGAGGTATAGAAAATGCATTGTCGTAGCCGAAGCTACAGATCTAAGCAGCTGGGAGAAAATTACTGTAATGTCTTCGTAATTGTTCTAGTACTGTATACAGCTATGGGAAGAATGTTCTGCAGAACATTTGAGATGCAGATTCTTATCCCCACAGTAAGTTATTTTCCAGATACTAGACCAAATCAATCAAAACACAATGATCTTAAAGGTCTAAAGATCAACCTAAATGGTTCTATCATTCTATGATTCTAAAAACATCTATGAGATTACTTAATGCTCTGTTTATGGCAGTAACTACCCCTTGAATGTGCTGTGATTTCAGAAATAGAGTATATTTATTTAAGATGACTGAATGCTCTTTTATACTAATACAATATCCCAAAGTCATGAGCAAGAGACTTCTTGGTAGTTTGCGTTTCTATTTTATAGCATTGGTGCATGACTTTTGAAACTAAAGTGATAAGCGTTGTTGGAAAGGGGCACAGGAACAAGGGACTGGTAGAAGTGTGTGAACTTGTGGTGTTTAAATTCCAGCTTTGGTCTTTATTATTTGGGTGAAAGCTGCCTTTGTAGCACAAGGCTGAAGAGTACTCTGCAGTTTGTATGAAGTAGAAACCCAAGAGAGTTGTAACTCACATCAGAACGAGGGAATGCCTTATGGTTTGGATGCTGTCTTTTGGAACAGGATATTAAACTGAAGCAGTTTTAATTTCCACTGCCTGTTTAGCTACTGTACGGATACTGAACAGGCTGAAGGCAACAGTTGTAGACGTGGGACAGCTGAGAGAGGATGACCTTTGTTCTCAGTACGGCAAAGCTGTGGCAACAAAGGGGAATTAGGAAGAAAGATAGGTGTGTATATATATGTGTGTGTGTGTGTGCGCGCGCGTGTATGCATGTGCGCCTGGGTGTGTACGTTTGGCAAAAAACAGTGTAGAAAAAACAAAAACATGATGGGTCTACAAGAGACTGTAATGCGTGTTGACCCTTCGAGTGCACTCCCTTTTTTTGAATGCTGAGTCTAATATGGCTACCTCTCCTAAAAGACTACTTTTGTTAACTTCCATTTGCTTTCAGGCTTGATTGTGTAACCTTTTCAGGCGTTGATACCATTTGTATGTTGCTGTGTGCTTTACTTTCCAAGAGTGACGTATAGCACCGACAATGTAAAGGCTGAATATTCAGTGGTAGCCAAACTATGTTGCTGGAGCATTTTTGTTAACCTCTGCCGTAGTCATATGGGTTGCAGGACACGGGCCTGCTAGCTCTGGTTGGTTCAGTGAGATCGGTTTTTGTAACAGCAAAAAATGCAGTGCTCACAGGGTGTGGACTTCAGATATTGCCAGAGGTGACGCAGTAAGCCAGATGCTGCTCTTGAAACTTATTCTGGAGTTTACGTTTGCAATCCTGGTTTCGCAAGGAAACGTGACTGTGCAACTTGTGTGTCGTATACCATATGTTGTCCATTAGATGCTGTTTGTTTGCCGTGCTTGTTTGATAGCTTGTAGAGCTCCTAGGTATCTCTGCCATGTTTTGTAATACTTGTGGCATTCTCCTTACCTTGTACATATTGTGGAACTGTCACATATAGCTGCCAGGATGCTGAGGCCCTTCAGGACACTGAGCGCCGTGAACGAGTGCATTTAGGCTGTGAAAGAGTTACTTGCCTCCTCCCCTAAATTCCCCAATAAAAAGGCACAGTGAGGTTTATGCTCTCACCTAAGTACTGTTAAAGTCATTTATATACTCAGTATTTTCTACTGAATTGACAACTTTGAAGGAGGTTATGAGGTGGATGTCTATTTTATGTTCCCCCACTAATTCTTCTAAGGCAGAAATCAAGGAAGACTTGACATGAGATCTCCACTCAGCAACACACCTAAGCTTACGCTGAAAACCATCCTTACTTAAGGGGCAGCATTGTTGTTTGCACTGTGACAGTGCAGGAGCCCCGGTTACGGACCACTACGCTCTTCGAGTTAAGCTTGGGCTTGCGTGGTATTCCTGGGGGAGGCGCGTCACTGTGACCTAGGGCCTTCATTGACATGGAATTTTGAAAACGACTGCAAATAGCTTAACGTTTATTGAGTTCTTCCAAAGAACTGTGTTGTAGTTTCTGGGTCTTGACTGTTACCATATACCAGCAGACTCACATTTACTCTACTGGGAAAAAACACACCTGTACAGGATAACTAACCGGGCTTCCGAATGTAATGGTCTAATCTACTCTTTTTCACCCCTACAACTGAAACCGTATTTTCCCCCGCACACTGCAACACTTTAATCAGTGGTTGGGGCTTTGAAGGTGACAAAAGCAAGAGGCAGATGCGCGTGTGTCAGCATGTATGTATAT